ATATCCTTCAGGATCTAGTATTCTGTGGTTGGAAAGAGGCTCAGGTGGCACAAGGAAAAGAAGCCCAACTCCACACCAAGGGTGAGAGGAAGAGGCCAGTGTGGCAGCAGAGCCCATTGCAGGCTGCTTGGGCACCATGCCAGGGAACTAGTACAGCAGGCTATGCTAACACAGCCAGCAATGCTGGGACTGCTGGGACTTCCCTGTGCTCACACATCCCAGGCTGCACACACACACACACACACACACGCACACGCACACACACACACACACTGTGTGCAGGCTCACAGACACCTAGTAGCTTACCATCATCCAGTGCCTCACAAAGCTGCAATATAAAACACTGTGAAGAACTGAGGTTGGCCTACCCACCACACAACACCCACAGACATCTGAAATGTGACCTGGAAGAGGGAATTCACTTTGAACCTGGAGTGAAGCAAGCAGGGCTGCTTTGATTCACTGTGCTCCCGATGGTTAAAAAAGGTCAGAGGTCAAAAGTTTAGGAATTTTTTTTTTTTTGGAAAGGTGTCTTTGAGATTATTTGAAATGTATGACACCCAATAGTGTACATCTTAAGTGCCAAATTTCTACAGACAGGCTCGATGCTGTCCTAGGAACCTCCAGCAGTGACATCTCAGAGAAGTGCAACTCTCAATATGATTCAATAAAGTCAGTTAATACTGTTTAATAAATAGGGCAGAAAATTAGCTGAGAGTTTCTTTGCAGGATGCTGCGTGCGACCAAAGTTATGGAAGATTGTCCCTTGAATCACTAAGGCAAACTTTGTTGAGTGTCATTTTACATAGAGCAATCACATAAAAAGATATAAATAGAAAAAATTCCAAAGTTCTCCCACAGACGGAAATGAGAAACATCAAAAACAAAAACAAAAAAGTTGAAACAAAATAAAACAGCCACCCCGCCCCCAACACTCCCATTTGCTTCAAGTTCTTGATCATACAGTACTTGATATCTTTGGATATTTTACAATGTACAACTCCAAACTTCAGCCAAGAAAAAACAAAAAGAACTAATCAGTCATCTGAAAAATTGAATTTATAAGAAGTCATTACCTTTACAAAATAAAAACAAAAGCCCCAACACCACTGGATTCCACTTTGTTCATTTTATTCCTTTTAAATTGAGATCAGGCCCAGTCCCTCGGTGATGTGGGAGCTCGGGCGCGTCAGCTGCTGAGTTCCAGAAGCAACTGTCTGAAACGGACACCAGAATCTAAGAGGTGGTTACCCAGGCAGGCAACTGCTGAGGGTGTCTGGGTTTCCACCTGGCTGAAACAGCATCTGGTGACATGAGGGATTCTCTTCGGGGGAGCTGTGAGAAGGACAGAGTCTGTGGTCTTCTCTGGCCTTTTTGTTTTTTGTGTTAGCTCAGGAAAAAAGCCAAGGCAATAAGAAGAGCCAAGCTCTCGTGCCACAGCTTGGGGACTGGGGGCGCCGGCCCTGGACCCTCTGTGCAGGTGCACTTACCTCTCCAGGATACTGAGCAATCAAAGTACACTCAGCTAGAGAAAGGAGGGAGGGAAGAAGAGGAGCTCAGTCAGGAAGGCACTGGGCCAGCAGAGCTGTCTTCCTTCTTGGGCCCTGCCATCAACCTCAGACCAGGACAGTGTATGACCTAAGACACAGGGCCCTTCAGACCCCAAACCCTTGCCTCCCATACCAAGCACTTCTGTCAAGAGGGAAGCCACATACTGGAACTTCATCCCTGGAGGTTGGAAGAAAGGGATGGGGAGAGGCTCAAATACTGCACAGGGGGCAATCACCACGTAGTCTGGGGCCTACAGAAACCCCTACCTCAAGCAGCAAACAGATGAACCCTGGGTAACCAGGTGCTTTGTCTAGGTTAAGGAATTGGGGGAAGGGAGGCAGTTGTCAGGTGCAAATATCTGGCCTTGTCCCTTTAATGTTGGCCCCAGGAATCCCAAGAGATTCTTTACAGCACTGAAGACAACATGTGGGAGTGGAACAAATGCTGATGACTGTTCCCTGGGGCGCAGACCAAAACAGGGCTTGCCGGAAATGGGCAGCATGGAGTCTCCCAGAGTTGCTTGTGAGCTGTGGACAAGTGATGACACCCACCTCAGGTCCTCCTCCTGTCTAGTTTGGCCGTATTTCTTGCCTGTACTAATATGATTAGGTTGAGGTGGAGGTAATAAAACCAAGTACCTAGTAAGAGAAACTTTCTCCTTGGAAATTGGGAGTGTAAAGTTCCTACCTCTCCGGGATCCTCTTTGGAGGACAGACGTACATAGGCTCAGGAGCTAGGGGAGGCGAACCTAAACTACCAACCGCCTTCATAGCAGGTAACATAGAGGCACAGAGGGCTGACCTGTTAGGCCATAGCTGTCCTTGGGGAAACATGGGAAACACGGACCTAGACTCCAGTGGTTGGCTCCTTGTCCCTGGATGTCTCACTGTCAATGGGACCACTTTCTATGTGGCAGATGGTCATTGCTCTAAAGGATCCCAGACCTCAGGGTACTGGAAAACAAGCCCCAGAGCAGTACTGGGAGGAATTCCCCTGTCAGATAGTGGGGCTCAACCACATTGTGTGCGCAAGATCCTACTCTTGTTTTTCCTCTATCCTGCCCACTTTCAGGAGGAACAATCTCCTCCTTACAGACCCCAGGGCTCCAAGGTACTCTGGGCACCCGGCATATGACCCTCTGCTGTGGCATGGCCTCTGTAAGTTTCTGTGTGAGACAGAGAGACAGCCAGGGAGAGGAGGCCCAGGCTCCAGACCTACTGAGAAGTGATGCCCACATCTGACCCCAGCAAAAGGGAGGCGCTGCCCTTGGAGATCTGGAAAACACCATGGCTGCTAATATATATTGTTTCATTTCCTCTTGTGTTTGTAAGATGCGAAGTTCACACCCACGGGTTGGGACAGTCAGGCCTGTAAGAGGGGACAGGGCTGGTGGGCCAGGTCTACCAGGGCCAACCTAGTTATTGGCTTCAGACATAGAGGCCACATGGTTGAGGCCGGCGAGCCCAGGGAGGCTGGCCAAGCCTGCAGCCCAAGGGTCGGGTAGCGGGAAGTAGGGCCGCGCGGCGGCCACGTTCTCTGCCAGCGCAAAGGCCAGGAGGCCCCCCGCGTTCCTCTCGGCCTCCAGCTGCGCGCGCCCAAACAGCTTCATCTGTGTCTCCTCAAACTGGCGTTCGAGCTCCTGCAGGCTCAGGGTGCCCTTGGGAGCCGCCAGGAAGTGCTTGGCTGGGCTGGGCCCCGGGAGGCACACGGCCGCGCTGCCCAGGTGGCTGCCCA